GTAAGAGATTTGCTTGGGCTTGTTACAAAGAATGCTACAACAGGCAGAACGGCGTCGGACTTAGGAGTACTTTATGATAGTATAGAAAGTAAATTACGAGCGCTGGAAAGCTTAGGACGCACCAAGGAAAAGTTTGCTGATTTCTTGGGACCTTTAGTGGAGTCGTGCCTACCTGAGAATATTCTACGTGCCTGGGAGCGGAGTCGAACTTCTGAACAGGGACAGGAAAAAGAGTTCTGAAAGAACGCTTGAAAAACTAATGTGTTTTTTAAGGCATGAAGTAGAATCGGAAGAAATGATTAGATTAGCACAATCAGGATTTACTCATTCTGTTAAGCGTCTTAATAAAAATGTTATTTCAGGTAATTCAGATTTAGCAACAGCTGCCGCGCTGGTAAGTACAAATGAAACCAGTAAAGGTAAGCAAAATGTTTGTATATTTTGTGGTAAGCCTCATATGAGTGCTAAGTGTTTTAAAGCTGATGAAAATATGAGCTTAAATGAAAAGAGGCAACTTGTACAAAAGAAAGGTGTTTGTTTTTCATGTTTAAGAATTGGCCATTTAAAAAACCAATGTAAAGCCAATATTAAATGCCCCATTTGCAGTTGTGATCATATAAAATTTATGTGTCCTCAGAATGTTAGTTCTGTAAAACAAAATGACTCTAAGTTGGTTGGATGTTTCCCTTTCTAATAATAGTAAGAGCGAGAAAGTTTATTTGCAAACTTTATGTGTTCTAATTAAAGTTAAAGATCGAGAGAGAAAAATTAGGATTCTCTTGGATTCGGGATCCCAACGATCATACGTTGGGGAGAAAATTATGAAGCGAATGAAGGCTGATCCTATTCGACAGGAGAAAGTAATTCATGGTTTGTTTGGGGGGGAGGGAAACTGCGCCTGTAACCCATTCTGTTTTTGCTATTGACATAAGCAGTTTAGATAACACTTTTAGGTGTTGTTTTGAAGCTTTTTCTGAAAAAAAGATATGTGGATTTGTTCCAACAATCAAGAATGCTCAGATTATAGAGGAATTGAAAAGCAGGAAAATTTGAGGTCAGTGACACATTTTGCGAGGAAAGTGAAATTGATTTATTGATAGGTGCAGATGTCATTGGTAAACTGTTAACTGACGAATACCTAGAATTACCCTCTGGTTTAACTGCAGTCAAAACAAAACTGGGTTTGGACGGTTATGGGTAAAGAAAATGATACTGTCAGGGATAATGCCCTAATAAGTCTTTCCTTGCATGTAAATAATGCTTCTTTGAAATCTTTATGGGAGCTTGAAGTTTTGGGTATTTCCGACCCGACGGAAAATAGTAAAACGAAAAATCTTCATTGCGACTACGAGATTGATTTTCAGAATAAATTATCTATTCGGCCCGATGGTAGATATGAATTAGAATTACCCTGGAAATGCGAATCTACCAATTTATCAGATAATAAAAGCATTGCTTTGACACGTCATCAAAAAATGATAAAGAGGGCAAAAGAAAATAATTCTTTGAAGGAATATCAAGAAGTGTTTAGAGAGTGGGAAAATTTAAATATTATAGAAAAGGTTCCGGAAAAGGAATTAAACAATAAATGCCACTTTTTACCACACAGACCGGTTATTAAGATGAATAGTGAAAGAACCACTAAGGTAAGACCCGTTTTTGATGCTTCATCTTGTGAAAAGGGAAAACCATCTTTGAATCAGTGTTTATTGAAAGGACCTAATTTAATAGAATTAGTCCCTGATATTTTAGACAGAATGAGATTTTTTCCTATTGGTCTGAGTGCAGACATAGAGAAAGCATTCTTGCAGTTAGGAATTTCTCCGAAGGATAGAGATTACTTGCGATTTTTCTATCCAAGTGATGAGGGAGAAATAGTGTATAGGCACTGCAGAGTAGTTTTTGGGGTTTCCTGCAGCCCTTATCTACTAGGTGCGTCTATTAAATATCTCTTGAATAATTGTCCATCTGACTTTTTAGATGTGGCTGACAAATTAAAAAATTCGTTCTATGTAGATAATTGTATTACGGGTGTTTACAATATTGAGGAAACAAGAGGATTTAATTCAAAAGGCCAAAAGTCTTATGTCGAGAGGCAGATTTAATTTAAGGGGATGGGAGAGCAATGTTGCTTCCAAATATATTACAAAAACATTCTGGGGACACACCTCTTTTAGGAATATTGTGGAATTTAGACAATGATACTTTAAGGTGTAATATAAATGTAAATATGATAACTTGTGATACTAAGGTAACTAAGAGACTGATTCTGTCTATTGTACAATCAATTTTTGATCCAATTGGAATACTTGCACCAATAACTTTGCTTCCAAAACTTTTGTTACAAGAAACATGGAAGTTGAAATTTTCTTGGGACGAGGTATTGCCTCATGATTTTGTAAGTAAATTTTTTGTGTGGTTATCTGATATACTTTTGTTGAAAAATGTGGCAATACCCCGATTCATTGGAACCTTTGCAACAGTTGAATTGCATGTATTTGTCGATGCCTGCAAATATGCTTATGCAGGATGTATTTTCGCGAGAAGTGTTGATTCATGTGCAGTGTAAAAAATTACTCTCTTAAGAGCAAAATCTAGAGTAGCTCCTATTAAGAATTTGACGATTCCTAGATTGGAATTAATGTCCTGTTGCATTGGATCCCGATTATTATATTCTGTTTGTAAAGCTCTTAATGATTTTGATATAAATGTAACTTTATGGTGTGATTCCACAGTCGCATTATGGTGGATCAGAAATCCTGGTAATTGGTCAAACTTTGTAAGCAATCGTGTTAAAGAAATTACTAAGTTGACAAAACCTGAATCATGGAGGCATGTGCCTGGTAATATGAACCCAGCAGATGTGTTATCTCGAGGTTGCTCTGCTAAACAAATGATTAACTCGGAGTGGTTTAAGGGACCTCTCTGGCTAAGAGAAAGCCCTGAATTTTGGCCTACCAATATTGTTTGTCAGCCGAAGCGAAGCTGACTTGGAAAAGAGGAAGGTAAAACTTATTAATGTTAACTTTTCAGAGGATACCACTCCTTGGTATGCAGAAAGAGTTTCTGATTATGAAAAAATGATTCGTGTAACCGGTTGGGTGTTACGTTTTATTTCTAACTGTAGGAAGAAGTCAAATTTGTGTAAAGAATCTAAAAACTAACTGTTGCTGAAATCATAAATTCCGAAAAAGTTTTGATTCGGTTGGTTCAAAGCTCAAATTTCCCTGACATTGGAGCTCTTAATCCACTTGATGTATTCATTGATAATGAAAAAATTATAAGAGTTAAAACTAGAATATTGGAACGCAAAGACAATTCTGAATTTTTAACACCAATTTTGTTACCGAGTAAATGTATCTTTACTACATTGTTAATTGAGTCAGTTCATAAGAAACATTGTCATGCTGGAACTCAAATGCTTCAATCTATTTTAAGAGAAAGATTCTGGATACTAAAACAACGTAAAACTGTGCGTAATGTGTTAAAAGGGTGTGTAATATGTCAACGATATAAAGCGAAACCGATGTCTTGCGAAGTGACTCCTCTTCCTGAAGATCGCGTAGGAGATTATAGGGCTTTTGAAATTTTGGGAGTAGATTTAGCTGGCCCATTGTTTTTGAAAAACGGTAAGAAGGTTTGGATGGCACTCTTCACATGCGCTGTGTACAGGGCAATCCATCTAGAACTGGTGACTTCGTTATCAACAGAATCTTTTCTTTTGGCTTTAAGACGATTCATAGCCAGACGTGGCAGACCACGAACCATTTATTCTGACAATGGGACTAACTTCCGAGGAACGTATAACGAAATGTCTAAACTTAACTGGGACATAATAGAGAATGAGGCAAAAATAAAGAGAATAGTATGGAAATTCAATCCACCAACAGCCTCCTGGTGGGGAGGTTGGTGGGAACGGCTAGTTCGCATGGTTAAAGAACTTTTAAGACGTTCTTTGGGAAAATCGGTTTTATCTTATGAAGAACTGGAAACCTTAATTTGCGATTGTGAGTCGGTAATTAATTCTCGACCTTTAACATATATTTCGGAGAACTCTGAAGATGCTATCCCTTTAACTCCGTCAATGTTTTTAATTGAAAATTGTACTTCGAATGTAGCAGATATAGATAAAATTGACTCTCAGCATTTTTTGAGAAGAATTAAATACCGCACAAAACTTCTTAAAGATTTAAGGAACCGTTTCCGAAAAGAATATTTGGGGCAATTAATTAATAATGAAACAACCACAAAATAAAGTAACCCGGTTGCCTAAAATTGGGGAGATAGTCTTAATAGGCGATGATTTCAAAAAACGCTTGTATTGGCCTTTGGGTAAAATTATAGAGAAAATTCCTGGTCGGGATGGCAAAGTTCGAACAGTTAAACTAAAAACTCAGAATGGGATTTTCATAAGGCCCGTTCAGCGTATTTATCCACTAGAGATACAACTAAGTGAAAATTATTTAGTTGAAGAGCCTAACGTTAACGACGATAAGAAAAACGATCAGACTGACGTACAGCATATAAAACAGAAATTTACGTCGTCAGGACGGCTTGTTAAGAAGCCTAATGTACTAGACCTTTTTAATAGGATAACATATGTTTTTGAGTCGTTTGCCACTGACTCAAAAAGGGGGGAGGATGTTGCATAATCGAGAAAATATTGTTAAGAATTTTATTATTACTATTTTTATTATTATTGTCTATTTTTCAAAAGTGTGTTTTTGTTTTATTATTGTGTGAAGTTGTAACTATATGTCTTTTCTTGTGTGGCAACAACGCTTCTGTAATTCTTCAATTTGAACTTTTGGATGTGTGCCAAGTTTGATGGCGTAATGCTCTGGTGAGAGCGTCGATTGATTGTGTAGATGAAACATGTTGTTTCAGAACGTTATTTCTTTAAAATATGTAAAATAAATGTTTTGTTTTCTGAACTCGGATTATGCAAACGTTATTTAGTTTCAACACAGGAGATGAAGAATAAATTACTGTAAATTTACCTTAGAGCATCTCCATGGGCTGGGGAACTTGCTGGTTCTGTATCATTACTGTCAATATCCCAAGAATCTACTTCCATCATTAATTCTACTTCTCCTTCTTCATCCCCAGTAGCTTCAACATTACCTGAGCTAGAACTTAAGCTCTGAGTGTGTGCAAGTGAGCGAATATTAGTTATCACTGGCAGAAAGCCTTGCCCAGATTGCATTATTGACTGCACTGCAGTTTCAGTTTCACTCTCAGAACTGCCTTGTTCTGCTTGCACTTCTGTTGCAGTTGTTTCTTCTTGATTTTCAGAAGACAGGTTACCCTGCTAAATATTAAGTTTAAAATAAAAATATTAAAAATCCATCATATAATAATCTAAATAATTTTGAATTGAAACATTAATAGAGTTCAAAGCTTAGTATGTTTGATAATTTACTATAAGAGGGTATCTCCCCCCCAAAAAAAAAACCATAATTATTTTTAAGCAATTATATTACATTTTACATCTGTATAGTTTAGTCTCCTTCAAAGTGTTTTCCAGCATTAATATACTTTCCCCCAACAATTTTTCCATGGCTGGAAACCAGGGGCGTAGCTAGGGTGGGGCAAGGGATGACATCTGTCCCCGAGTGCAGCATCCAAGGGGGGGCCAAATTGATACTACAAAATTTTAATGAAATGTTTTCCAATTTTACACACAGATAGGGGTGAAAATTTTAGTTGTCTCCGGGAGCTGGAAATGCCTCTGCTGGAAACATGAAAATAATTCTGGAATTCATTGTGGTTCGAGGTCCACATATCCCCCCCCCCACTTTGTCCATGTCACTCATTCCCCTCCCCCTTTAAATTTACTAAACTGCTGAGAAATTGAATCACACTGAGCAAGAATATTGGCAAGCAGTGTGATTAAAATATGAGTGCCATGTTTTTTTTCCCCCCAAACTGTTGGGCAGATAGAATTTATCTAGAATTCTGGTAAACAGTCTTTTGAAGATCTTAATTAGTGAGTTGTTTTATTTTCCTATGTTTTCCTCATTTATACTTGACAATAAATTTCCAAGTCATAGCACTTTTCATGTGACATATTGCCATATAGTTGTTTTCACATCAATAACAACATGTCATATGAAGTCTGGAAAACCACATGCATGCTATTTACCAAAGCAAGTTTGCTGAAGCATAACAATGGTCTTAGCTGCAATTTTCCTCTATGAAAAACAAAATTTCATGCAAAATTCTGTGTTCTTTGTGGTTACACACCACAGAAATGGCAAGCAATGGATACAAGAAGAAACATGCTCAAATAAGAATAAAAGATGAACTGCTCTACTCAGATTAATCCCACTAGGCAAATAGGTACAGGATATCCTAAGCTAAAAAAGCTTAGCCGTGCAGTCTTTCATAATTATGGAATACCTGCACTTGCATAGTATGGTCATTCTAATTATTTTTAGTACACTCATGTACTAATGTTATACACTCATGTATAACATTTTTTGTGCACATATTCAGATCAGAATATAAGTAATCATATCAAATAGCAATCACATTTATGATTTTGATGCATTTTCATACTTAACGCTAAAATCATTATACACTCTGTCACAAAAAAATATGTGCACCCAGGAGGAAATGCACTATTATAAAGAAACTTTTCAAGTACACAGTGCATGAGGAGATAAACAAATGATTACAAATTCAGAACAAAAGATTGTTTAAGAAGTTATGGCATGAAAAAGGTTACAAATCAGTAAAGTAGTACAGCCACTTCTGGCAGCTATACAAGTTGAAACACGGCATCGAATCAAGTAGGTCATCTATGACACCCTGCGGAAGCTCATGACATAATCTTTAAAACTGGGCACTTAATTCACCAATATTCTGTAATGACTGCAACTGCCTTCCAATCATATCCCAAATGTGCTCCACTGACAGACCACGGAAGTATGCCATATCCTTGAAGAGGATATGGGGAACGACTCCTTTCTGGGAGAGTCGTGCAGTATGTGGATGAACATGTTTTTGCTGATTAATGGCACTTGGGTGACTTGATAGCATAGGCAGTACAACTGGCATTAAAATGTCATCCATGTAACCGTGAGGCATCATAGTGCCTTGAAGGACAACTAGAGGTGATCCTGTGTCTGAATAAATCACTCCCCACATTGTTTTGGGGCACCTTAATCGCTGTATGCCGCTCAACAACAAATACCGCTAATAATCGCTGTATGCCGCTCAACAACAAATGCTGCATCGGAACGTTGGCCTGGCCACCTCCACACATGTGCGCCTTAGCCATCAGCACTGAAACTGAATTGGGATTTGTCACTGAAGACCACACACCTCTAGTAGGTAACAATCCAGCTTGCACAATTTACAATTTTATTGAAAAATTTAAGAATTAGTTTCCTTCTTTTTTTTTTTTTTATCATCTGGGAGCCAAGTCATTATTTACAAAACATTTGCTTCTGTGGATAATAGTAAAAGAGTGTACATATTACAATGAATTTCCAAACTGCAATTTCGTGATTGTCTTGTGAAATTGCAACACAGTGTGTAAATTGGTATGGACACACATAATTAGGTGTGCAAACTGTTAAGAACACGAAGTTATGATGTATCAAAGTGGACAAGTAGTATTTACTTAAACAATGAACATAACAAAAATGTACTTCAAATTTATCAAAAGTTAACTTAGAATTCAGTTTATATGAACATTGAATAGCCTACACAACATCATACTTTGAGCTATGGAACTATCAACTGCCTGAACTGATGTGACTGGCTTACTCTGTGGATAACTGCAAAAATAATACGGACACACATCATTAGGTGTGTAACTAATAAGAATATGAAGTTATGATATATTGAAGAAGACATAGGTTTAAAAACTGATTAATATATAAGTTCCACTCTCCACAACATAGATCCTATCCATGACAGTGTAATTATTAATTGATCGTATATTTATTTTTCATACGGATTATTATGTAACAATTATTGTATAGATGACATTGTCAATTTAGCATTGTAATATTAATATCATTGATTCAGTGAATGCCACTGGATGTGGATGGTAGATTCTTTTCCGTTGCATGGACATATAACTCTGATTGGTGTAGAATCTTAGGTCGGAGGTCCATGCGACTGCGTTTCAGTAACAATCCAGCTTGCCCAAGTTTGCCAAAAATCCATTCGACACCGTCTATGATGTGGGATCAGTGTTTGTGGACAAACTCTGTTTCATAGAAAAGTGAAGTGTGAGAAAAATATCCTGATGAAAAATTAAACCATTTTCTCACATTTCTGGTCATCTTTTTATGACTGTTTCTCTTAGCTTTATAATTGTTTTTATAATAATGCCGGTTCATTGCTGTGCCTTTTGGAACCCATTCTGAAAAGTGACACTCTTCATGACAAAATATATAACAAGCCTGATTTTGAATTTGTATTTACCCTGATGCAATTTTTTTATCTTTGGTGATGCAGTTGATTTCTAGTGCACTGACTACAATACAATGTCTGACGTCCAGAATGATCTAAAATTTAGACTGCTGGATTATCTTTCTTTTTTTAAATATGGACATTTCTTTTAAACTTTATGCTTACATATTTGATATTTTTCAGAATAAAGCATGTGAAAAGTCCCAATTCTTAATTTCACTTCAGCACTGTTGCCAACCTAGCAAGTCATTATTTATTAATTTTTTCTTTCATCACCACATGACTATCAACACAATGTAGCATGAGAAATGATTCACAAATCGATGTCTAGTTATATATATATATTAAAAACTGAATACCAAAGAGCATGGTAACATTTTATGCTGACATTGTGCTTGGCGATGATTACAGACTTCAGCTAACTATGTTGCAAAGTGACGAGTGTGTTGTCAAAAACGAAAAAAAATTTAACAAGAATCTCTTTCCATATACAAAAAAATAGATCTTGGAAATGATACTCATAGGCCAAAAGAATACATTTAGTGCTGTTTGAAATGAGAATAAATGATTTGCTATTTATTCAAGCCCAGCCAGTGTAGCCGCACTGAGCACCAGAATTTAAAGAAGATAAAATTTTTAGAATTTATAGAAGCACCAAAGAAAACAAAACTAAGGAATGGTAAAGTTTTTAGAATTTAGGGAAGGCACTAGGACACAATATTTAGAAATGGCAAAATTTTTAGAATCTGGCATCTGCAAGAATAGCCATCTGGCAGCAGAACTTCGAACCTACAGAGAATGAAGCAGATCACAAAATAACTAGTGCCAGCCCTGCATAAGCCTTCAATATATGTGGGAATTTATGACTCAGATAAGTCTTAAGCATATGCAGAAAACAGTTCATGCTTAATTCATCAGCACGCAATAGAAGCAAGACAAAATTTCACTGAACAAAACGTCTTTCGTCGACAAGCTTGTGACACATCATCAATAGTCTATAGCAGATGCTACATAAGCTTTATGATAACAGCTGCGAAATTAAAAGTTTTCAATCAGAAAAGGGGGAGGGGTAAATCCAAATAATGGAATTTGTGAAGAAATGTGGGAAAATGGTAATAAATAAAGATGATATAACAGAAGATTTTTCATTGTGATAACACTGTCCTGAACATCAATCAATTAGTGGATGGCAAAATCTGTAGTATGGTTATACCAGAAAATATCACTACCAATACTGAAGAAAGTAACAGAGGTTGTTAAGAGCAAAAAAAAAATTTAATTATTAATTTAGTGGGAATTCTCGATGTGGCAACTACAGGACTTGAATAATAGAATTTTGTAACTCAACAAGAAATTATGTCTATCTATAGAATTAAAGAGAATATATTAGCACAAAAAAAGAAACAAATGAAAAGCTTACTTTAAAAGAAATGTTTAATAAAACAAACAAATAAATAAATAAATCAGGCTTATTTATTATTATTTTTGGTTTTGATTTTGACTCTCTTAAAGTTATAAATGTTTCATTTCATAAATCAATATCTCATATTTTTAATTTCATAATTTCTCCAAGTTATCTTACTAGATGTAAACTCATGATCTAATATCTAAATAAACCCCAAATCCAGAATCACCAAAGTCCCAACAATTCCAGACTTTGTACCGTATTTTTTATTTCAATATCATAACTGGAAGACTCAGGTATCAATATAATTAATGACATATAGAAAAAAAAAAAAAAAAGATTTGGGTTCATCTCAGATTGTTTTGTTATGGCAGCATAGATCCTCTTATGCCCTGATGATGATTTCTGCCCTGATGTGAGAGATCTAAGAACCACTTTGGTATTTTTCATGTTGGAGGTTCTGAAAACTTTTCACTCAGTATCCTTGTCAATATTTACGATTTCAGCTATTACTCGAACACTGAGCAATATTTTCAATGCCCATATTTTCTTTAGTTCTTGATGAAAAAGGTCAACCAAGATACTTGTCATCTTTAACATTCTCACATCCTTTACTTAATCTTTTGTGTCACATAAACACATGCATTTAAAATATGAAAACTCTTCACAAGCCTCATTAAAAGACTCTGTTGGTGGGCCTTTTTCATTTCTCCCCCCCCCCATGTTTGCACACTGGGAAATACAACTACACTAAACAATGACTAATGATCAACTAGATCGCAGAACGAGTTGTCTTTTATCTTGCATACATGGATAATTTTCAGTATGTATGATAAATACCTATAATTAGTTCTTATTTTGTTGAAGAGCCAGAAAATCAATCTTGTTATTTAACAGCCAGACCTCATAAGCAATGCCTCCACAGAAAAAGGCAATTTTGGGGCTACTAAGGAATAGGAATACAAAGAAAATTCCATCAATAATATTTATCTTCATAGTTTCAGTAGCAACATCAGGGCATTATTATCATGATATCCCCATCTATTTATTCTTATATAGTATCTGAATATTTTTGAAATGATCAGATTAATTCCAAGTAGATTGCAACTCTTTAAATGTGATCTAGAACAAAGATGATAAACAGAGTGGTTTAAGTCTCAGAACAATCAGATTTCAATTCTTCGTAGTGAAACAAAATGATGTGATAAGTTTCAATGAAAGAGAAAATAAATAAATATATACATAAGCTATGCTTATACATATTTGGAAATATTTTCTCCACTTAAAGATAAGGAGTTAGGAAACATTAGCAAGCAGTGTACCAATTATTGAATTATGTCAAAGCCTGAGAAAATGGTACTAAAACTTAAATTATTTTTTAATTAAAGAAGACATTTCCATAGTTTTCTTCACAGGGAATAACACAAATCCCAACTTAAGTTTCATTACAAAGCTCAAAAATATTATTTTCTACGCAGATATCCTCAAGTGTTTCAACATGATAAATTAAGTTTTAAAAAAAATCAAGTTTATAATTTATTCACATTTTGACTAAAGAATTACATATTAAACTTGTTTAAATCTCAGAAAGCTAAAAATTTAAATATATTAAAACACTTCAGGAAGTTTTTAAAATACAAACCTCAGGTACTTGTTCTTGAGGACATACAGATGAAGGAAGCCCAAATAAATCACTAGCAGATTGTTCAAACCATTGTCTTTCATTTGCTGTGCTAGAACTAGCAACATCCATAGTTATTAAGCCACTACTCACACTTTGGCCAGAATAATGTAAATTTACCATTGGTTCAGAATGGTGCCTTAAAAAGATTTTTAAAATATAACTCTATATATATATATATATATATATATTTATATATACCTATACCTTACACATATATTTATCAGAGATAAAAAAACAAGTAAACAAAGAAAAACTTGCAGTATGATTTTTCAGATGTTATCAACACAGGTACCTTTTTTCCATTCTTTTAAGTATACAAAAAATTTCACAGATAAACTACACATCTGAAAATTTAACACCAGGAATGTGTTAAAAACTGGTCTCCTCAATTTGAAATATGGATAAAAATTTACAATATATATATATTTTCCCAAAAGAAATACTCTTGATTCTGGCTAAGGTTACTAGTTCAGATAGGCAGCTCTGGATGAAATATTAGAGAATAAATCCAATTTAAAAAGATTATGCTTTCTTCATTTATATGGAATAGTATACCATTTAATTTGGATACCTTTAAGACAGAAGATATGTCTTCCAACAAGACATTTAGTATAAAGCCTAGAAATTAAAATTTTTAAAATAGAAAATTAATATTACAAATTTTTAAAGTGGACATTAAAAAAATTACTTTTTAAGCTTTTTTCCCTGAATTTTTTTTTTTTTTTCAGTAGAATTAAAATAATTAGCCATATAATTTTAAATAAAAAATGGCTCACTGCAACAATAACATAATTTTAAAAAAGAACTATTAACTAACTACATTAACTAAACTTCATTTTACATTTAACAGTCGTAACAATATTCCTAACAATAATTTCATGACTACTGCCACTGTTGGTTTCTTGGCCTTATGTTCAAAGCTGCATAATTCCATTCAAAATTCAGTTTATCAAAAGTTCTATAATAGTTCCTTGCATGGCTGAAGATACTAATAAACAGTCTTGTTTAAATATAAAGGATAGTTTCCCTTTAGCTGCACTATGATTTGTTAGTTTTTGATGACTGTATGGTATCATATTTAAAAAGGCTACGCAGGAAAAGTGATGCAAACAGTATAGCCCAGTGTTTCCCAATGTGGGTCCACCGTCCAGAGTTTAAGGGGACAAAAGATGTTCAAATTTCCAAATTTTCTTTAAAAATTTGCAATCAATTTCTTTTTTTTTCCTCCCCCAAAATTAAGAGTAATGTAAATGATGTATATGTAAATAAATTTTTAAACTGCATTGCATTTTAAACATTTTATAAGGAATTTTTACTGTAGTCATTGACATTTTAAATGCTTTTAAAGGGCATTAAAATTGCTGACACATTATGTTTTCCAGACATTTTTTTGCACATGTCAGCTAACAAATTCATTTCATTTTTTACTGTAGGAACGGCAACACATTCTTCCCTTGAATGGCAACAGCAGCTGCTTTCAGTTTTGTTTACATTTAGAGGTGGGATGAAGTTCGTTTGCTTTATGCTATATTTTGGTTAGAAATCAAAATATATGCATAAGATAGGTTAGTAATATATGAAATGTAATAGTAATATTATTTATGACATTTCATGCATTATGTTTGTTTACAGAATTATGACATAGCATATAAAATTGATTCTATTGAAACTAACTTGGGGGGGGGGGAACAGAAGAATTTAGAAAGAGCCAGTGAATGATGTAATGACATACTATTACTGTACAAAAGTTATTTTTCAAGTATGTTACTAAAAGAAATTCTTTATATTCAGTTTTCATGTGTTTATGATTTTTGAAAGATTTGGGTATTTGAAATGTCTCTTGCATTATAATTTTTATTGAATTGTTTCCATATTTGTAAGATTCTGATACTGTTCATAAGAGAACTGTGAATGCATCTTATTCTTCATAAACTTTTATAGGAATTATTATATGTTTTGAATAATTCATAATGGCCAGTAACATTTTGTGCGTTATGCTTGTCTACAGAACATAACATATGAAACTGATTCTTTTAAAACCAGTTAAATAAAAACTGAAAAAATTATGTTAATTAAGATAGAACTAATAAATGCAATTGCAAAAGTATTTATAAGTTACTTTTCAAGTATGCAATCACAAGTAAATTTTAATATACTTTTTTTAAGAAAATTTTTCAAAGTTCTGGCCATTTAAAATGTCCCTTGCATTTTAACTTGTTTAACTCATTGTTTCCACACTAAATTTATATGATTTTGATAATATTCATGCATTTTAGTATCAATATACTTTTATAGATATTATTGTTAAGCTTTTCATAAAAAATTACCTATAAGAGTTAAAAAATTGTGTAAAATTAAATGAAAAATTTATATATTGCAAACAAATGTGCATAAATACACATCACTATAAAATATCTTTTACTGTTTCATGCCCTCTTAAGGCCCATAAGTGTTAACTGCATGGATATATAAATGGTATGTATATTCAAATGTGCCATACATATTTAAATATACATTTTTAGAACTATGTTTACTGTGTATTTCAGTTCATATTATTAAGGTTTTAATTGATCTTATATTTATTTCTTTCAGCCCATAGCGAAATGAGTGATGCAAGCAAAGAAAAATATTCGTCAGTATTTGGAGGGACATTTAGAATTTGGTTTTATACCCACTCTCCATGATGAATGGTCATCTTTTTGCCTTTTACACCAACAAACTCTTGACCATCAAATCAATGAAATGAGATCTTCTTGAGGCACATTTGAAGGTGAAACATAATGCTCATACTAATTCAAGGTCATCTTGAGGCACATTTAAGGCAAAACATAATGCTCATATTAATTCAGATTTGACCTACTTTCAAACTTTAAAGAAAAATTTTGAAAAAAGAGTAACATAAAATTTCTGTTTACTACTCATAATGCAATTATCAATCGTATTCTTCAGGATAGTTATAAAATTTCATTATTCATTTCTAAATTGGAGAAAAATCATATTATAGGGCAGAATTTAATCACACCATCAATATTAGTATTTATTAAAATGGTTTTGGAAAAAGATGACAAAGATGCTAAAGTAACAATTGTGTGTTACTGCCACTAATGTGTGTGTGTGATTATGTCTAAGCCTCGAGGGCTATCTGCCTAAGGGGAGGGATGCCTTCGTGGAGGATTTTTCAAGGGAAACTGGCTCGTATATACATTGCACATGGGGAAAACCACGAAAACGCCCATGCAGTCAGCCCGTTCGTGGGATTCGAACCTCGGACCGAACTACCAATGTTCAGCGACTTTACCGCTCGGCTGCTAGTGGGCCCACTAAGTAACAATAGTGTTAATAGAAGATGGATGAAATGGATAAGGGTATTGAAAACTTGTTAAAAAGCTGAAAACAAGAAAATTCTCAGTGCAAATGGATTAATCAATCAGTCAGTGACCATACTTATAACGTATGTAAGATGTATTGAAAAAGGAGATTCTGAAGAAGAAACGTTCTGTAAATCATTAGAAAGCACCATTACCTTCAAAGGTACATTTATATATATATAGTAAGCTAAAAAATTACTTAGATGTCAGCAATATACTACTGAAAAATATAACATTTTGTGCTGCAGATGGTGTTTCTAATATGAAGAAGGAAAGTGGTTGCTTAAAATTTATGAAAGATGAGAATCCAAAAATGGTTTTTGTGCATTATGTTATTTACAGAGAAAACCTGACAGCTAAAAACATTTTGCCTGTTCTAAATGAAGTACTAAATTTAGTTATAAAGTCTATTATGCTGTTAAAGCTAGTGCCAAATGTGAATGTCTCTTCAAACTGTTTGTGTGAAGAACAAAATGAAGATCACGTGAGACTTATACTTCACACTGAAGTAAGATAGCTCTTGAAAGGGAACTGCTCGAAAATGGAACTATTTGATACTCTTGGTGATTTTTTAAGCGGCAAACCTGAAATGAGGATCTGTTAATGGTCAAGGGTAAGGCATTTCTGAGTTATTTAGCTGACATCTTTGAAACACTATATATATATAACTTCAAGGAACAAATAAAATTCTCATTGATGCAAGAGCAAAGATATTTAGTTTCAATATCTTTACTAAATTATGTCAGACATATATATACAACAAAATTTTTTAAAATTTCATTGCCTCCAAAAGTTTGAAGTGCCTGGTACTGCTATACATGTTATTGTCAAGCATTTGAAAAATTTATCAGTTGAATTTAAAAAAAAAAAAAATTAAATAAGTTGATTTCCCACTTTGAATGATGTAGCCAATGCTAGTCAATATGTCTGATATTTTAAATATGCAGTTGTTTATGTTCTGATTAACATAAAATGACTAGGTTCAGTCATGCATGTATATCACAAAATGGTTAAACATAAAATACAAAAAATACAATGTAAAAGACTTAATTTTCTCTAAAAATGAACCAGCATGGAATAATACAAATGTTTGTCTCTCCATATTTAATATATATATTATATATATATATATATATATATATATACCATCTCATTTAATGAAATTGAATCTTTAGTATGTACTCAAAGTGGAAGGGAGGCAAGACCATAGATACTTGTGTTTATGCTGCAGAGAAATGCTGTTTACTGTAGTTAATCAATATCTCTAGAAGTAAAAAGGGGGGAATAGGAGAAGTAATCCAAAAACTTGTATTACAGTTTAATGCATAAGAGAAGAGTTCATAATATCAGATTTTAGTTTTACATCTGAAGTTGTTCTAAATAACAATTTACAATAAGTCTACAATTTAAAAGTCTAACCCCTAGAAATATAATATACAAAACATAACATTATTACTTAACTATTTAGTGGAAACATATATGTCAAAAGACTTTTCAAACTGCGAATTACTATCTAATACTTCAAAAGAGTTTACCATTAAAATTTGAAAAGAAAAAAAAAAAAAAAATATTTAAAATGTTTAAAAAACAGCAGGTTGAAACATTGGTAAAAATTTTCCATGATAATATTTCATATGAAAACTTTTAGAATTATTTAATAAAGAAAATAATTATTCAAGATGGAGGCATGCAGTTTTTTTTTTAAACTAGATCACTTACCTTGAACGAAGATTTCTGTTTTGATAGAACACAGAATTTGCAATAAAAC